ATGGCTGAAATAAGAGACTTCCGGCAATACTATTATGTATGTAGCCTTCAAAAGCTGAAATCAACTGGAGCCTACTACACATAAAATAATAAACAAAGTGGAGCTGATAGAGTACTAAGTAAAATTGACAGGGTTTTGGTGAACATAGACTGGTTGTCATAGCTACCAGCCCCAATGGTTCACTACATGAATGAGTGATTGTTTGATCACTGCCCTGCTGTGATCAATTGGGAGAATAGAAACCAGGGGACCAACAAACCCTTCAAGTATTTTAATATATGGAGCATGGATCCTGACTTTAAGAAGAAAGTTGGAGATAGCTGGACACCTGAGATTGCTGGCACCAAGATGTATCAGCTAGTGGGGAAATTGAACAGGCTGAACAAAGTACTAAAACAGTTGAACAAAACTAAGTTCAGTGATATTGAAATAAAAGCAGGACAGGCCAAGGAAGAGCTATTAGAATGCCAAAAACAGATTCAACTAGATCCCCTCAATACAGGACTCATTGGCAGGGAGCATGACCTGGCAAACAAGTACAGCAGACTAAAGAAAGCAAGTGACCAATTCCTAAGACAAAAGAGTAAAATACAATGGCTAAAACAGGGGGACCAAAACAACAGGTACTTCCATAGTTATATGAAGGCAAGAAGAAATGCTAACAGAATTTTCTCAATTAAGGATTCTACTGGCAGAATGGTAAAGAACATGGAAGGGATAGCTAAGGCATTCGTGGATTTCTATAAAGCTATTAGGAACCACCAAAATTGATAGAACACATGTATGCAGTAGCCCTGTGAGAAGAGGACCAACAGTAACTGAGGAACAAAAAAGTATGCTAGCAGCTGAGTTTACTGAGAAGGAAGTTAAGCAAGCACTATGGGCAATTGATGGGGGAAAATCTCCAGGCCCTGATGGCTATGGCAGCAAGTTCTTTAAAGACAGCTGGAACATAGTAGGACAAGACCTCAAGGAGGAGTACTAGAATTATTTTCATCAGGGGGGATGTTGAGGGTGAGTAACAACACTGTCATCACAGTAATCCCAAAAAGCAACCACGCAGATGCAGTTGGGGACTATAGACCCATTGCCTATTGTAACACAATGTATAAGATCATTTCAAAGATGTTATGTAATAGGGTCAAACTAGTCTCGTCGGATATTATTTCAGAAAAAAACCAGAGTGCCTTTGTAGCTAGGAGAACAATCATGGAGAATATCCTGATTTGTCAAGATCTAGTAAGGTTGTACAATAGAAAAACAGCCACCAAGAGCTGTCTGATCAAAGTTGACCTCAAGAAAGCCTATGACTCTATTGAATGGGACTTTGTAGAGGAGATGTTACATGCGCTTAATTTTCCTATGAGGTTCATAAGGTAGATCATAGAATTCATTTCAACACCGCAGTACACTGCGGCTTTAAATGGAGGCTTATATGGGAACACAAAAGGTACGAGAGGCCTGAGACAAGGGGACCCTATATCCCCTCTGCTGTTTGTGATATGTATGGAGTATTTTACCAGAATAATGAAGTTAGTGGCCCAGCAGGAGAGCTTTTGCCTACCATTCCAAGTGTAGAACTCTGCGACTAAATCATCCCTGCTTTGCAGATGATGTGCTCCTTTTCTATAAAGGAGATATACAGTCAGTGATGCTAATGTTGAGAGGACTTCAGACTATCTCCAACTCTTCATGTCTAACAACTAATGCTGGAAAATCCAACATTTTTAGAGTGAATATGGATACACATGAGATAGAGGATCTATGTAAAATAACAAGGTACATCAGAGGCAGACTCCCTTTTAAGTATCTAGGGGGCCCAATATTATCTAAGAAATTGTCAAATACAGACTGTCAAGTGTTGGTGGACAAGCTAACAACCAGAATAAGAAGTTGGGGCTCAAGGAATTTATCCTCCGCTAGGAGAGTTCAAATGATCAATGGAGTTCCGATGCACATACACGCATATTGGGCATCGATATTCCTACTTCCCAAGGCATTACTCAAAAGCATTATAGCTATATGCAAGAATTACCTATGGGATGGTAAGGTCGAGACAACTAGAGTGCTACTAGTAGCCTAGGATGTTGTACGTAGACCAAAACAAGATGGAGGAATTGGGATAAGGGACTGTGTGGCATGGAATGAGGCTGCCATAAAGAAGTATGTGTGGATATAGCTCAAAAGACTAATAATTTGTGGGTCAAATAGATAAATCTCATATATCTGAAAAGAGAGGATTGGTGGCAATACACTGCTCCGCAAGATAGTAGCTGGTATTGAAAAAAGATCTGTCACATAAGAGACAGACTTGCGGGGGTTATGTACAAGGATGGTGGCTCTCACAAGCAGGAAGATATACAATAAAAAGGGGAAATATTCTTGGCTGAAGGGGAACCTGGACATATGCCAATGGGGGAGATGAGCAGTGGCGGAGCCACCTTATAGGAAGGGGTGTCAAATGACACCCCTTCGCGGAAAAAAAAAAATTATATGTATATATACTATGCATTGACTCCCCTTAATTTTCTGATATGTTTACTTTTATATATTTTGACACCCCTTAATCAAAATTTTGGCTCGCCACCGGAAATGGGTATGGAATATGCAGAACATGTCAAAACATAGCTTCATTTGCTAGCTGACTATGCTTAAGAAGCTGTTAACAAAGGATAGATTAGCACACAGAGGGATCAACTCAGATGGCCTTTGTGTACTATATGGAAGTTCCTCAGAATCTATTAATCACTTGTTCTATGAATGCCAGTACTCCAAGTTATGCCTTGCAGAAATATTTTAGTGGCTAAGGATAGGAATCACAATTACTGAAAGCCAGAGTCTATGGAAAAAAATAGCCAGGAAAATGGGAGGAAAGCTAAGCAGAGGATTTGCACATGCAGTGCTGGCAGCAGTGAGTCGGTGACTTACCATATCTGAAAAGGAAGAAATAAGCACTATGGCAGAGCACAGTTCCTAGGCCCCAAAGGGTATGCAACCAAGTCAAGGAAGAATGCAAAGTTCGGATGATGGAGCTCCTGGAAAAGACAAGGATAGGAGATGGCCGGAAGAAATATACAGATAGCAATTAGATAGGAAGGATTATTACATGTACAGGAATAGGATAATCAGTAGACTTACTTGGGATTAACTAAGTAATGGATGTTTATAACTAGGCGATCTAGTATTTTTTTCCTCCAATTGTATTTGTTCCGGTAATGAATAAATAAATTCATTCCACCAAAAAAAAAAAAAAAAAAATTT